ACAAAATTTTAAATATGAAATCGATGCATTTTATTATTCGTGTAATCTTTCATTCGAATAAAAAATAGTGTTCGATACGAGGGCGAAAATTTGTTGTTGGCGAAAAATTGTATCGAAAACTACTATTCTGTTGCAGCTACGTTAAACTGGTGGACTTTGGATTCGCTAAGAAACTGCAAGCCGGTAGGAAAACATGGACGTTTTGCGGCACGCCAGAGTATGTCGCACCGGAAGTAATMCTCAACAAGGGTCACGATATTAGTGCGGATTATTGGTCTCTTGGAGTACTKATGTTTGAGCTACTTACGGGAACACCGCCGTTCAACGGTAGCGACCCGATGAAGACCTACAATGTGATTTTAAAGGTGAAGCGGGTTTATTGAAAAATGGCGCAAATCCTAACTGTKYGGATATTTTCAGGGAATCGATGCCATCGATTTTCCCAAGAACATAACGAGAAATGCAACCGCTTTGATTAAGAAACTGTGCAGGGACAATCCAGCAGAGCGTTTAGGGTATCAAAAAGGCGGCATTAGCGACATCCAAAAACACAAGTAAGTCGTAAGCGTAAGCGTTTGGGTCAATAATACGGAAGAATTATCCAGTCGGTTAAAGATCGTGAACTCTTGAAATGTGCCGAAAGTGTCTATTATTTCCGATCTGAAATTTCTAGCATGTTTTTCAATGAGTTCGATGCATTCCTCGCGTTCGTGAGATGAAAATGATGTAAAATTTAAGACACTGAGAAAATTTTCATTTTTCCAAAAGTTGGACAATTTCAACAAAAAATCGAAATTTGCTGGCCGAAATTACAACAAATTCAAACAAATATGTAGTTTTAAAGACAGTCACGCCTAAAAAGAATCTAATGTTTCCCAATTATGGATTGTTTTGCATTTTAAGTATGATGATGGGGCTGTTGTCTCGCCTTCACATTTTGACTGAAACCCAGGAAAAAACAGTGAAAAAACGACACTAAACGGTCCTTCAGATAAACATTCAATACGATTTTTTGTTTTAGATGGTTCGACGGTTTCAACTGGGAAGGCCTAGTGAACAGAACGTTGCCGCCCCCGATTATGCCGAAAATCAGAAGCGTAACAGATTCCTCCAATTTCGACCCTTATCCCCCCGACGAAGGCGGATTACCGCCCGATGACATGTCCGGATGGGACAGCAATTTTTAATCGTTATTGTGATCCAAAAGTACTGAAAATCCCACCGGGCACAGTGCCTTAAAAACCGATCTATCGCGCAATTTCAGTCAGTTGATTTCCGTATAAAACGCATGAGCTGTTTTAAGTTCACTCTGAAATTCGTCTTGATTAGCTGATCAAACAGTTTTGTATGCTTATTAAGTGGATATTTTTCTTTTGTTACAATCAGCCAGCAAAATCGACTTAATCAACAGTCGCAACTCAGTTTTACATACAGTTTTCGAACGCTGCACCAGACTGGAAGTTTAGTAGATGATTGGTCGACTTCGTGCCTTAAAAAAAATGTTCGTTTCATTGATGGTATTATTTGATATTGTTTTCCAGTTTTACCAGGGACTTTTTATCACGGAAGTTTCCACATGACATTTGTACTCAAGAACTGATATTTTGAACTGTGTTTGTGCTCGTTTTCTCTTTGTATAATATTTCAATTAACGATGATAATTTTAAGCAGTGCCATTAGATTTTATTTTCCCTTTTTTATGTATTATACCATTATTGACCAAGCGCAGTGACGTGCTTTAGAAAAAATCACAGCTATTATATGCCACTAGGCCCCTTTTTAACAATTAAATAAGTGTATAATGTAAATAAAGATAATAAGTTACCCGGCCTTTAAGCTTTTGCATTTCAACCGTCTCTGTCGTGTTTTGAAGAATTTTACCCTCCTAAACGTATGTCGTACTGTGTTGTAAATCAAATAAATAATTTATATATACTTGCAGAGTGCTTTTTTGGGCAATTTATCGGTTATCTACCAAGCTAGTGCTAAACGTGGCAAGTGGGGGATAAAGACGTGCCAAAGCATCAAGAGAAAATTTCCTGTTAAAGCTGTTCTGGTTGCAACCAAAAAAAATAAGTTACGCCGATTTCGATGTACTCCAGAATGCCATATGCCTCTTTTATGATAGACATGCTGCCGAAGATAATCTAGTAATAATGATAATGCTGGCAAATGTTGACTGGCTAATTATTGTACAATATACTAAGCGGATATAAAAATATTAAATGCTTTAATGCGGCATCTGGCCCGTAATTGGAGGTTCCTCGCATAGGATTAACGTCTTAGTTATCTGTTGGTTTAACGCGAGCCAACAATAACACATTGCGGATTAGAGCGCGTAGTTCGTATCATTGAGCGTAAGCCTGCCAGGGCAGATTGTGCGACTTTGCCACCCTGTACAACTTCTTATCGGTATCCTCAATATCAAATCACAACACGAATGTGGCAACGGTTAGCCGGTTTTTTCTTCTCTGAGGCGTAACTGGATAAACAATATCATACACATTTGTTGTTTTTCCAACAGGATGTGATTGGGGTGTGGAAACTTTCTTTTACAAAAACACGAATTGCTTGCAATTGAAGGCTAACCGCGCTTAAGCAAACTGTCCATCCAGTAACCGTAGAGCTCCAACCATTAAGAAAGTTACCCGCAAAGACGCTAACTAGGATTACTTTGTAGATAAGTTCTATATTGTTGAGGCGGATTCATTTTTTGCAAACTTCTTTTTGGGTATTTCGCCTCAAAAATTT